ATTACCTTACAGGATTCTATATATGAACCCCGAAAAGGAACTACTTTGGGGCCTCTGGGTAATGCTTAATGTAGGAACCTGATTAGAAACCCACTTAAGAAACCCTGGGCCCTTGTTAGGGCTCCTTATATAAATCCCAATGTATTGGGGGTTATAGGCCCAGGGTTTCTTAATCAGGTAGCTACCGGACTTCCAATGCTTGCTTGGAGTCTTGGAGGTTCATGGGTAGCTATAAATGTGCTCATGAGTCCCCTTAAGGGTCCCTTTCTTAGGGGCTGAGTTCATAAGCCCCAAAAAAGTGTACACTTTCAGTTTTACAGTGGGTAATGATATCCCAAAAAGTGTAAGGTGTGTCCACTCAGCTACTAAGCTTTTAAGGGTTCTCTAGGCTTCCGGTACTGAGGGTTACGGCCTAGGGTTAGAATTTTGGGGGGTTTCCGTGTTGCTGGTTGTAGGTTTGGGGTTTGGGATGTAAAGTTTGCGTTCAGGAGTCCATGGAGCTAAAGCATGGGGCCGTAAAGTGTACCAGTATATCATAATTATGATTAGAATGCGAAGGAACAATTTTCCTCCCCAGGCACGATGCCTCTACTCCCGCCGTTTAGAAGGTTTTTCGAACGGCATTCTCCTCAGACTTCTGCTCAAAACCGGCGGGCAAAGGACCTAGAATCCTAAACCCCAAACGCAAACCCTAAACCCTAAACTCCAAACCCTCTGGACCCTAAACTCTTAACCCGCTAAACCCCCAAACCCTAAACCCCTAAACCTAAACCCTAAACTCCAAACCCCTGAACCCCAAACCCTACTCATGCGCTCAAAGCCGGAGGACAAAGCATCCAGATGAGGGACCCCGCAAACAGTTTTCTTGCAGACGACAGCTCTGCCCTTTCGATTCCACGACGGCTTGTAGAGTTTAGGGTTTAGGGGTTTAGGGTTTAAGGGTTTCGGGTTCAGGATGGTTTAGGGGTTTAGGGTTTAAGGGTGCAGTGGGGGGGACTTTCCATGGCAGACTCCTTGCCCATGGTAGAGTTTAGGCTTTAAGGCTTCAGGGCTGGCCAAAAGCGATACCGACGTCTACATAGCACCCTAAACCCTAAACCCTGTCATTAGGTGCTCATACCCCTGAGAACTCTGTGGCTGAATGTTGCGGCTCCTTCACCTCACGGTTGAGGCTTCGAGTTTTAAGCCTTACGGGGGGCCTTTGGTTTGGGTTTGGCCGAAGCCCTGCATGCCTAAACCGAAACCCTAAACCCTACACCCTTGTCATTTTAGAAATTATAGACAGAGCCCTATACCTATATCCCTTAATACGAACTGTTTAAGAAGGTCTACTAGCCGGTCTGTTTATTCTTTTGGGGGAACCATGAAAAAGCACAAGGCTGAAACCCTACCCGAAACCCTAAACCGCCCTGCAATGAATCCCCGTCTTTCGGAGGCATGCGGCCTCCTGCCACAGCGACGATGCCACGAGGTTCCGCAAAGCATCGTCGTCCGCCATGCGCGGGAGCCAGCAGGTTGCCACAGAGTGTGGTCTAGGGTTGAAGCCTTGGCCTCATAGAGGGGCCTTATTAATTCGAATAGAGTTTTGGGACCCATATTATACTATAATCATTAGAAAGAACCACCAAAATAGTATAGGTAATTGTTAAGGCCTGTATATTAGCCGAGCGGGAGAGCGACAGAGCTCATTGTTCGTGGGCTTTGTGTGTAGCCGGGCTCAGACTTTCTAGAGCTCGAATTTAAGGGTAGGCTTTAGGGTTCTAGGGTTTAGGGTTTAGGGTTCTAGGGTTTAGGGTTTAGGGTTCTAGGGTTTAGGGTTTAGGGTTCTAGGGTTTAGGCTTTAGGGTTCTAGGGTTTAGGGTTTAGGGTTCTAGGGTTTAGGGTTTAGGGTTCTAGGGTTTAGGGTTTAGGGTTCTAGGGTTTAGGGTTTAGTGTTCTAGGGTTTAGGGTTTAAGGTTTAGGGTTTTGGTCTAGGGTAGGCATTAGGGTTTCGGTGTCGGCTTGAGGTACATAATGCCTGAAGCAAGCCTCAGGGTTTGCAAAGTTGGCCTGAGGGTACCAGCTTTCCCGGTCACTCGATTGAAGGCTCCAAAAACACCAAAGACAGCCTACATTCAGGGAATCTGCATCTCTTGGGGGCTTGCGAGTCAAGAGCGTCGAAGTCTAAACCCACCGAAAAAGTTCCTTTTGAGGCTTCCTCATATATTATTTCCTTATATAAGTGTAGGTTTTCGAAAGTTAAGGTGGGTAGACTGTGTTCAGGGTGCTACAGACATGAAATGCCCGAAACACCCAAACCCAGGCTTGACAAGGATGCGAACAACTCCACCCTCCGCTGGGAGCCAAATATGGGTTCAAGGATTGGGGATCAGGCTTTTGGGCTTGGGTTTAAGGGTTTAAAGTAAAAGCCAGAAAGTTGGAATATGATCATCCTAAACCCTTTATGGTAAATTATAGGGTATCCTACCCTGAAACCATATTCCAACTTTCTGGAGTTCCCTTTAGGGTAGAGGTTCGAGGGTTTAGGGTTTAAGGCTTGGGGCTTAGGGGTTCAGGGTTTAGGTTCCAGGGCCTGGGGTTTAGGGTTATGTTTTGGGGCTTTGGGGTTTAGGGTGTTTTTAGGTTTGAGGGTTTAGGGTTTAGGGCTTAGGTTTAGGGTTTAGGCCGAAACGATTTGGTTAGGGCTGTCGGCTGTTGCAGCTTCTAGACTACGAGTAATTAATTACGCAATAGAATACATTTTCGATGCTGGAATAAGCTACCAGGAATGTATTGCTGCCGTTCATGCCTCTGCCTTAGGGATGTCTCCTTTTCATTGGCATCGTCCCGTCGGAAATGAGCCGCGAGCGAAATCGCCCAAGTAGGGCCCCTGTTTCATGCTTGTCCATGTAAATTTTTCGTGTATGGCGGATAAACCCCGAAATCCTAAACAACAACACCAAAACCCTTGCGCCACATGAAGGAACCATTGCAGAGCTTTGCCCGATTGAGGTTTAGGGTGTAGGATGTTCCCTACCGACTCCTGTGTAGTTCCTTCTTTAGCCTAACCGATTTTACGTGTAACAAAGGTAACCGAAAAAGTAACTAAAATAGGACTTTCATTTCGAGTGCTCAAAGTCTCATGAACGACTTATCATTCGGGAGTGTCGGTGGTCAATCAGCAGTAGCCTTGATGGTTTCGAAAAAGGTCAAACTCTGCCCTGTATCAAGCTTGCTCTTAATTAATGTTATTTTTGTTATTATTATTATTGACTGCAAGTGGAATATGAGCCGATATGGGCGGACTTTAGGGATTTAGGTCTTGGGTGAGCTTGTGCCACAGACGGTTCGAAAGTCCTTGCAGGCCTGCAGTTAAGACCAATCCTTCACGCTCCCTTAGGGTTTTGGGGCCCATTTTACCAAAAATATGGTAAGGAACCCCCAAAATAGTATGTAGGTAAGGGTTGAGGCCCCTACATTAGACCGGGTTTAGGGTTTAAGGCTGAGTGTACAGGGACCCTACATTTGGAGATCGGGCAGATCCTCCTTTCCACCGGTGCCTTCGGCACACGCGATTGTGGCACAGAACCGACTTGACATTAGCTTCTACAGTATCAGGCTCCAGGTTCTTGACCCTACGGGAAGTCCTGGACCCCGTAAACCTATAGCTCTTACTGCAAAGCCCGGGTGCCCCAAGCAGGTGTAGCTCAAGATTTGGGGTTCGTTGCTCGGCGGATCAGGCGAAGGCATCCTTGACGGTTCATGGACCCGAAAGGAAGCTGCACTAAAGCCCTCCCACCTTGTGCCAGACAGCCCTCCGGGCTCTGTTGCACGGGGAGGCACGACATGAAAAGCTCTTATATTCAGGCAGAAGCCTGATATCCATGTTTAGAATCCCTCTGTCATGTAAGGTATGGAGGATCTGGCTCTGGGGAGGAGGTAATGAACTTTAGTTCGAGCAGGGCCCTCGCCCGGTTGATAGAGTTTCGTCGGGTTCATGTTGCAGGGATTTGAATCTTAGATCCTGGGCTTTGAAGTAACCAGGGGAAAACAGTATAGACTTTCAGTTTGAAAACGGTTCCCTTTTCAGTTTAAAATGGTTCCCTTTAAGTAACAGGTTCCAAAAAAGTATTAAAGTATGGTCCAGAGTATCAGGAGAAACTACTCCGAATCATTCCGACCCCTATATAGGAACCCTTAGCACTTCAGGAAAGGGTTCCTCCTAAAGCTTCCTTTAAGATCTGAAACCCCCAAACCCCAACAACCCAAGGTTTCATCCATAGACCCAAGCCTGCAAGCTCCTAAACCCCAAACTCAAACTCTAGGATGCCCAGTTACTTGGAGGGTCGGGGGACTTAGTAACTGGTTATTTTAGGGACTTATAAGTACCATAACCCCAATTACGGTCCCTTTTAGGGTACTTATAAGTCTACCTACTACCTACTTACTAAGTCCCCCGACCCTCCAAGTACCTAGGTGGTATTGGGTAAATTTATGAGGAACCGAGGACTACAAAAAGGTAATAAGGGTACTACGGGGCATCCTGGAACTCTAGATAACCTAGAAGCTGCCCCCACCCTGTAGTGACTGTAAGGATTATATTGGGGCCCTGTGATATTCCTATTATGCCACTATTACAGGGTGGGGGCAGCTTCTAATAAATAACCTTTAACCACAAACTGAAGCTCTCAATAAATGCACCCTAAGCCCTGGCGCAAACCTGGGCTTGTTAAGGAATTTATTGTAACTTGTCATAATCAAGAAACCCTAATAATTACCAAAGACCCCGGTTATGGTAACTTAAACCTTAAACTTTATACCCTCAAAGGAACACTTTTATAGATCCCTCAAAGGAACCTATATATATATATATATATATCCCTATTGTGGCAACTGAAACCTTAAAAACCCTATACCCGTAAAAGAGCCCTTATGGATCCCTTAAAGGAAGCAGTTTATGTCCCATTATGGTATCTTAAAACCCTGAACCCTAAACCGTTAACAAGAACCCAGTGTAAGGGTTACCTGCTTACACGCAAGGCCGTGGTCAACTTTCGGTTCACCTGCTGGGAGCGGCGCTTGGGCTTTAGGATTTAGGATTTAGGATTTAGGATTTAGGGTTTAGGGTTTAGGGTTTAGGGTTTAGGGCTTCAGGCTTCTTTAGGGTTTAGGGTACAGGGTTTAGGGTTACCTGCAGTCTCCATTGTAGTTCCTTCTTTGGGGTTTTACCTACTTCATAGGCTTCACGGTGGGGAATGGGATCCAGAATTTGGATTTTAAGCTTTCGGCTTTAAATGGCTTTAGGCTTTCGTGCTCTGGTGATTGAAAATATGTATAGAAAAAGAAGAAAAAAAGAGAAAGAGAGAAAGAGAGAGAGAGAATTGGGGCTTCCAGGTTTCGGGAGATTTTATGGTAGGGTTGGGGGAACGAACTTAGACTTTTGATAGGGTTGCGGAGATTGAGGTGTGGCATTTAGTGTTTGGGCATATGCTGCATATCTTCAAGCTCAGGTGGTGGGGTGTAGGACCCAGCAGCATTCTCACGGAGGAGCTGACTCCCCTAAGAACTCATGAAGAAGACCATGATGTGGAAACGACTCCACATAACAGACCGATAACCCTCATGCCAAACATACAGGGGCATCATGAACGATGGTACGCAAGGTTAAAGCTAGCTTGGATGGCCATGCGAGTGCATTACCGGGAGCTATTCACATCCCTTGAGCACACGCCCAACCCCTTATGTGAACCCTAACTCCCCTGCCTGACATCCCAACCCCCGCAACCTGCAGAAACTTGCATCCACCGGTACAAAGCCCCAAACCCTAAACTTCTACACCCTAAACACCTAATCCCCAGATCCTAAACCTCTAAACCCTAAACCCTAACCCCTAAACCCCATATCCTAAATAAACCCTAAACCCTAAACCCCGAACCGGGTTTAAGGCCTAAGGTGCCCCCCCAGACCTCCAGGACCTGGTAGGTGATGTGCTGGATGGCTTCCTGCCACCGTTTTTTTCATAAGGGTGGTTGTCAAAATAAGGGTCCCTATGATTTTTGGGAGGCCAAGCAAAAAATGGACTACAGGGGTTCCTTTAAGGGTGAACAACCCTAAGGGTCCTTATGGGTGGTTGTCAAAATTAGGGCCCCTTTTTGGGTCCCCCTAGTATTGAAGGTACCCAACAAGGGACCCCTAATTTTGACAACCACCCAGAAGGACCCTTAGGGTCATTCACCCTTTAAGGAACCCCTGTAGTCTATTTTTGGCTTCGCCTTCCCAAAAATCATAGGGACCCTTAGGGGGGTAGGGGGGAGGGGGGTGGGGGGTAGGGGGCCTCAATGCCCATATTCAGGACCCAATAAGGCCGCTAGGCCCATTTAAGTTTGGTAAGGCCACGCAAAAAGTTGACTACGGTTCCTTAATGGGAAGGCCGCGCAAAATAATAGACCAGGGTTCCTTTAAGGGTTCCTTTTAAGGGTTTTTTCTTATGCTTCCTTTAAGGGTTACTATACGGGTGTATATGCCTCTTAAGTGGTTCAAAAGGGGTTACCGTAAAGGTTGCTAGGAGGGCTTAGGCATAGTATAGGGGCTTTGGGGCGGTATGTTAGACCACAATAATAAGTACAAAAGACGAAAACCAAGAAGGAATACTACTATTGGTAGTTATTCCGGCTGTTGTGCTACCACTCAGGGGGCGTCCCTGTAGGCCCGCGGACTCAAAGCTCTAGCATAGAGTTAACCTTGAACAATGACACTTTCAGCCTTCAAGGCCCGGAGCACGAAACCTTAAACCCTACACCCTGAACTCTAAACCTTTCACTCTGAACCCTCAACTTTCTCAAGCCTTAAACCGGCCTGGCTTCAATTGAAGGCTTGGGGTGCTCTGGGCTTTCATCGTGGAAGGCCCTTGTCTGTGTGTGTGTGTCCTGCCTACCTTAGAAGTGGGTTTCGAGCTCCGGATGTACTGTCTACTTGGAGGTTCAGGGGTAGTTATAAGTGGGGTTATAAGTCCCCTACTATGGGTTATAAGTATAGCTACCCTACTTATAACCCTACTTATAAGGCCCTAAACCCTATACCCTTATAGAATCCCTATAGATGCCTTTAAAGGAATCCTTAAAGGAACCCTTATAACTACCCATGAACCTCCAAGTACAGATTCGGCTTCGGCTCGGGATTTCGATTGGAGTTGGGGGTTGTTTGAGTTGAGAACGGCCACAAGACCACAGCATCTGCCGCGCTTTCTGTTGATGGACAAAATCCTGCATGACCCTAAGGACTCGAAACTATGGGAAATATGGTATATTCCTTATAATGGGTAATGCAGGATTTTGTCCATCAAAAGTTTTCCATAACATCCACGCCGCCTTCATCTTTGGGTTGTGGGCCGTCTGGTGTAGGGTCTAGGGCCCTGAACCCCAAAGCGTTCTCAGGGTTTACGGTTCAATGTTTTCACATGCTTTCACCACAGGCTTTACGGGTGGGTTGTGATGCTCTCGACCATGTTCCGCAGCCAGGTTGTCAGAAAAGGCCCAAAGCCGACTGCACTTCCCATTAGTCCCGCTTGGCTCTCGGATGCATATAGCCGGGACAGACCGACATTATAGCTGCTATAGCCTGAAGCAATGATCGCATCTTCGACAAACGCCATGCTGTGTTGGATCAGGTGATGCGTGGAACATTTACTGAGGACCAACACCAACATGTTCGGATGGTCTCGAAGCGCCCGCAGCAAGCCACCAACATTCGCCCTGCTTCTGTCGATAACGTTTTGGAGGTCTAGCGATAAAATTCGCATCACCCCGGTGCATTCATCCAGCGCCCGATTGATGGCCGTAGCCAATGTATACGGGTCTTCCAAAGACCAGATTACCCCAATGGGTCCCACCGCAGACCCGTCCGATACATTAGCATGCGAGCTTGAGGCAAGCTCGTCCGCGGCCGGTGCATTCGAGGCATTGGAGAGCAGGGGTACCAAACCCAGAACAAATTGCCAGAGCCGCCACACCCTCCAGAACTCGACAGTCTGTAGGGCCGGAACCCTTTTGGTTCGGGTTTAGTCAAGGGTTGAAGCCATGGGCCCGTAGTATGGGCCCTTCACCTTAGGATCCCTAAATACCTACTAAATACCCTATATAGGCTCTCAAGGGTCCCTAGAACTGCCTCAAAATGGCCCAAGGGTCCATATTTGGGGCCCATACCTCTAACCTTAAATCTAGGGTTGAGGGTCGAGGCTTTAGGATTTAGGGTTGAGGCCCGAAGGCCCTCAGCCCCAGCACCCCAAAACCCCTTACAACCACACCTTGATCCGCTTGTTGTCGTAGCCTGGGCCGCGAAAATCTCTGGGTTTCAACATTTCTCAGGCTCCTGAAGCCTTAGGGCTTCAGGGTTTGAGGCTTTAAGCTAGACCTAAGAGAAGCCTAGGAATAAAAAGGATGCCCTTTTTGGTTTAAAGGGGTTTATAAGGGAACCCAAACCCTAAAAAAGGGAATAAGGGCCTACTCTGGGTCCTAGTAAGCTTTAGGTTCCACGATTTCTGTGATTTCGGAGCTAGGGGTTTGGGCTTGGGCTTGCTGAAGGAGGTTGTAAAGATGCTCGTTTGAGGCGTCTGGTTCCTCCACACCTGTCAGATGTCCAAAGACGACCCCCCAAACAGTGCAGGCTACCCTAAACCCTAAACCCCTAAACCCTAAACGAAAACCTAAACCCTAAACCCCAAACAGACTCCCTAACCTCTTCAGGCACTCTTCAGGCACGGTGCTTACACCCTCACCAACCCCCTGAGCCCTGAACCCCCCGAGTCCAACAAGCCCTCAACCCCATGAACTCTACAACCATCTAAGCCCCAAACCCTAAACCCCTAGAAACCTTAAACCCTAAACGGCCTGAAAACCCTAAACGGCCCTAAACCCATAAACCCTACTAAACCCCCTAAACCCTAGAACCCCGGAAATCCCTACACTACACCCAACTCCCCAAACCCTAAACCCTACCCCAAACCCCGAAACCGTGATCCTTACAGAACCCTTAAAAGAACCCCCAAAACCCTGAACCTTAACCCAAAACCAGCGCGGCCAGCCTACACCCTAACCCCTAAATCCTAAACCCTATACATCCCTTATGGATCCCTTTAAAGGAACCTGTATAGATCTCTAATAGAGCCCTTTAAAAGAACCCGTGTAGATCCCCATGGGGAACCCTAAAACCAGCGCGGCCAGGCAGCTCATCTTCGCAATTTGGAGGCTCTTGGCCTCGTTGGGAGGGGCGTCTCCGGAAAAAAAGGGAGGCCCTTTACGGGTTCCTTTAAAGTCTTTAGGGGTTCCTTTAAAGGGATCTATACGGGGTCCTTTAAAGGGGCTCTTTAAGGGGCTTAGGACTTTAGGATTTAAGGGTTCAAGGGTTTAGGGGTTTAGGGTTTAGTGGTTTAGGGTCTAGGGGTTAGAGTTTGAGGTGGGGTTTCGAATCAGTTTCGATCTGATCTAAGCTTGCGGTAAGGAAGGCGCCCTGTACCCCAAACCCTTATAGAATCCTTGAAAGTGGGTGCAAGCGCGAGGGTTTAGAGTTTAGGATCTAGGGCCTATGCTTTAGGGTTAGGGTTGAGGGGTCTAAGGCCTTCAACTTCCTTACCTTTGGTTAGCAGGGAATGGAAGAATGGTAGTAGTAGTAGTAGTAGTAGTAGTAGTAGTAGTAGTAGTAGTAGTAGGTAGAGTATGGAGTAGTAGTAGTAGTAGTAGTAGTAGTAGTAGTAGTAGTAGTAGTAGTAGTAGTAGTAGTAGTAGTAGTAGTAGTAGTAGTAGTAGTAGTAGTAGTAGTAGTAGTAGTAGTAGTAGTAGTAGTAGTAGTAGTAGTAGTAGTAGTAGTAGTAGTAGTAGTAGTAGTAGTAGTAGTAGTAGTAGTAGTAGTAGTAGTAGTAGTAGTAGTAGTAGTAGTAGTAGTAGTAGTAGTAGTAGTAGTAGTAGTAGTAGTAGTAGTAGTAGTAGTAGTAGTAGTAATAGTTATAATTGTGCCCCATTCCTCCATTCCCTACTAACCAAAGGTAAGCTTCTACGACAACAAGGGAGACAGCCACCGCGAAAACAACTGCAGCGACGAGGAAGGCAGAAGGCGAAGTGTCGAAAAGCCCCGAATCCAAAGCCCTAAGCCCTAACCTTGGGTACGGCCCCCACTCAGTAATAGTTGAACAATATTCATAATATAGATATACTGGGACCTTAATATAGTAGCCCTATTATAGACTATTACTGTATGGGGGCAGCACCTAAACCCTAAACCCTAAACTTAAACCCTAAACTCAAAGCCGCAAACTCTGAGCCCGAAGCCTTAAGCCCTAAACTCAACACCTAGGATACCCAGTAACCTAAGAATAAAAAGGCCTCTCTTTTTGGTATTGGGTAACTTTATAAGGAACCTAGGACTACAAAAAGGGGAATAAGGGTACTACTGGGCATCCTAGACACCCTGCGCCCCGATTGAATGTGTCGGGATGAAGCTTCCGCCTGGAGAAGCCATGCGAGTGCATGAGGATTGTGCGTCTGCCCCAATCCCAAGCCCCAAACAACAGCGAACTCCGGGTGATCAACCAAAAATGAAACTAGCCTGCCACGCCGAAGGCAAAACGAAGAACCCCTGGATCAATCAACCCTTCAAGCCTCATCCAAACGCCCCAATAAACACCCGATCAAACCCTCCCGATTAACCCGTAAGCCCAAAGACTAGAACCCCCGACCCTCGCCCATAAAAACCTTCAAACTGCCCAGACCCTCGACCCAGAAGCCCTGAAACCCCCGACCCGATAAAGCCTGCACCCTCGAAACCCTAAACCCTACACCCTCAAAATAGATCCCCTTCTAGATCCCTTTAAAGGACCCCTTAAAGGAGCGCTGTAACTATTGAGCCCCCTATAGTACCCTTAACTTTAAACCTCAACTTAAAGCCCAAAACCCTAAACCCTCAGCGTTTCGCCACGGGGCGGGCCCATGCAGCTGCATGCAGCCGGACACGAACTCCTGCAGGTCAGGGTCTAGGGTATAGGGTTTATAGTGTTCGGGTTCAGGGTTCAGGATTTAAGCTGTTCGTTCTAGCAGGATTTAAGGTGTTTGTTCTAGCATCCCACAGCTCTAAAAGCCCTCTATTCTGAAGCCCATGTACAGCTTAAAAGCCTTTCTTTCAACAACCAAACCGCAAAATGCTGTAAAGCAAACACAGGGGTCGATGCTGGGTTAGCCCGGAAACCGAATGCAAGGCCCTACCTAAAACCAACTCCAGGCCCCACAGTTGACCTCTCAATGCAAAACCGAAAGGCCACGGCCAACACAAGGCCTCGAGGTCGACTGCGCCGCTGTTGTCGGTGTCGATGAGGGTGAAAAGGGTTTTCACGTCCTCTATGACTCCAGATCCCTAAACCCGAATAACCCTAAACCCTAAACCCTAAAAACTAAAAACCCTAAACGTTGTTATTCAGTCAGGGCTCGGTACTTAGAAACCCCAGGATCCTTCAACTAGGCTTGAACTTCAGGGATCAAAGCACTTAGGGCTTGGGGCTCAAAGAACTTAGGGTTTGGGGCTTAAAGAACTTAGGGCTTGGGGCTGAAGGCTTGGGGGCTTTAAGGATTGCTAACTTTCGGGCTGCTTAGGCCAAGGGCACGTGCTTTACGCCTGCCCTACACCCAGTCAAACCCTCTCAAACACCACTTGGAGGGTCGGGGGACTTAGTAAGTAGGTAGTAAGTAGACTTATAAGTACCCTAAAAGGGACACTAAATGGGGTTATGGTACTTATAAGTCCCTAAAATAACCAGTTACTAAGTCCCCCGACCCTCCAAGCAGGAACTCTAGATCCGAAGTTTTGAATCCTAAACCCCTAAACCCTGGACCCTAAACTTCCCTGAACTTTCCTAAACCCTAAACCCTAGTAGTAGCCCGAAAGATCCCTTTAAGGAGCCCTTTAAGCAACCCTTTAACAAACCCTATAAACTTCGGGGTTGAAGGCTTTCTGACTGTCAGAAGGTCCTCGGCCGAGATATCCAAAGCCTCGGAAGGAGGGGTTCAGGGCCCGGGGGATCCCTTAACGAGATCTGTAAGGATGTCTTAGAGGGCTCCATAGGGGTTCCTTGAGGTACTCTATCTGGGTGGTTGTCAAAATGATGGTCCCTTTTGGGGTCCCTAATATAGTACGGCACCTAATATTCAGGTACCCAAAAAGGGACCTTAATTTTGACAACCACCCATATGGGTTTAGGGTTCATGGTATCCAAAAGGATCTCTTAACCTTAACGGGCTCCTGCGGCTCCCTGGATGTAAGGCATTGGTGTTTACAAGGTGATGGGTGATGTAAACCCCAAATCTTGTGGCTGTGTACATGATCCTTGCAACATGCTTCCGATAGTGGGGAAGTTGCATGAGCCTAGCGAAGGCCACACCAGGATGAGCACGATTCTGTGAACAGTGGGCTTGCTGGTGTAGCAATACACACCGATGTTTCTTTAAAAACAAAACCCCTTCTAGTTCACCTCTCTTCGGCAGATGTGCCTGCATGCAAGCACCCAGTCGGTCGAGAGAAGTGGCTCGCTCGATATCCTGCATGCGGACCTCCGGAAGTGGGAAGTTCAATAATGCTGCTGATGGGTTAAGAAACACCCTCTCTTATCCACGAGCTCCACGTGGCTGCGCAGCCCTCAACCCTCAAAACCCGAAACTCGAGAACAGACCTAAACTTTAAACCCTGCTGAGCTTTAGCTTTTCCTGGGCCAAGCTCTCCTAGAGAACGGAAAGCTCCGTTCCATCATCTAGTAGAAAGGCTTAATAAATAGACTAGGGCTTTGCAAGTATATTGCACGGTGCTTCTATGAGGGAACCGGAACCCCAGGAATACTGTCACTACCCTTTCGGGCTAAGGCTTCAGTGTTCAGGATTTAGGTCGTGGCACGTCAGGCTTTTGGGCTTAGGGGGGTTTAGGGTTTAGGGTTTAGGGTTTTGGGTTTAGGGTTTGGGGTTTAGGGTTTAGGGTTTAGGGTTTTGGGTTTAGGGTTTAGGGTTTGGGGTTTAGGGTTTAGGGTTCAGCGCTCCTGCATTCGCGAGAATCTTATCTAGAATCTAGGATACCCAGTAACCTAAGAAAAAAAAAGGCCTCTCTTTTTGGTATTGGGTAACTTTATAAGGAACCTAGGACTACAAAAAGGGAATAAGGGTACTACTGGGCATCCTAGTTATGTTGGGTTAGTAGGGAAGGGAAGAATGGTAGTAATAGTAGTTGTAATGTACCCCATTCCCCCATTCCCTACTAACCAAAGGTAAGGAATAGGAAAACACAACCCTTCCCATAGTTTAAAGGTACGTCAGGTTATGCAGGATGGTTTCCACAAGTAGTAACTTTCAGGAATCAAGGTGCCGTATACCCAGAGACTCCAATATCCCTGAATTAAGGCATATACCTTAAAGTATAGTAGGATCCCTAATATGATGTAAGGAAGATTCCTCAATTAAGGGATATTGGAGTCTCTAGATATGATTTGACATAGACCCTACAGGCCTCAACATCTTGCTTGACCCTAATTTGGAGTTCAGGGTCTAGGCTCTAGGGTTGTAGAGGCAACCCCAAAACGTAAAATCCCCAAACCCTACATTGTTGGGGCCCCTAGATTGCGGACACTGGGGAAGGGCATTCTAGTTGCTTCAGCCCTAAACCCTCCGCCATCTGAACCCCTCAACCCTGAACCCCTCAACACTGATGCCCAAAACCTTCCTAACGTTTGAGTAGTTGTCAAAATAAGGGTCCCTTGTTGGGCACCCTAAATAATAGGTGCCGTATTATAATAGGGACCCAGAAAGGGACCATAATTTTGCCAACCACTCATGTATAGCAGGTGGCCCAAACCATGAAAACTGATCCTTACTTCTTAGCAGCACCTCGAAATCAAAGCCCCCGTCTCAGAACCACCGACGCCCCGCAGGCGTACCTCGTTCGTCTGCCCTTCGTCGATGTCCTGCAGTGCTTGCATACCCATTCTCTTAGGACTTTAGGCTTGAGGATTTGGAGCTTTCAGTTTGGTGTATGGATGGTTCTTCAAACCCCCCTAAACCCTAAACCCTAGACTAAACTACTTGCAGGATCAAGGGACTTCAAGTAGCTTGCACATAGACTCGTATGTAGAGTTCCCAGATCTCAAAATCGCCGATGTGCAGTTTGGCTTGTTGTTCCGCTGACAACCTGCCCAGACCTTCCCAAATCCTTTGGTTAAGGAATATGCCCTTAAATATAATCGGTAACCTAGGATGTTTTAAGGTATACTCCTTTTTTGATTAAGGGGTTTTGGAAGATCTGGGTGCCTGTTGAACTGTTGAGTCCCCACCGGAAACTTTGAGTAGGGTTGATGATATAAATCCTGCATGACCTTAATGACCCTAGACTATGGGAACTATGGTAAATTCCTTATCTAGGATACCCAGTAACCTAAGAATAAAAAGGCCTCTCTTTTTGGTATTGGGTACCTTTATAAGGAACCTAGGACTATAAAAAGGGAATAAGGGTACTACTGGGCATCCTAGTTATGGGTAATGCAGGATTTTGTCAGCCGTGGGGCCCCTTCTTGCCCAGAAGAGTGCGACAGTCGCATGACAGGATCCCAACCGTTGAATCAGCCCTTCACCCCAAGCCCTAAAGCCCCAAACCCTAGAAACTTTACAACCCTAAACCCTGAGCCCTTTCATAGGGCCCCAAAAAAGCACATAAGCAAAAAAGAGTTTTGGGATATTCCGCTTATAATGAAGCCCAATAAGGTGCGGGTATCCCTATAAAATGCTTATGCTTATGTGCTGCTTGGGCCCATAATTTCAGAGACCCCGAAAATACGGCCTCGAACGCTTCTTGCAGTTCTTTCATCTGCTCGGTCCGTCTCTGTAGGGCCTGCAAATCGCGGCTTATGGGTTCCTTTCCTTAAGGGCGAAATGGACCCTAAAAGGGTTTAAGGTTCATATACCATATAGGGATTCATAGTATATGGGTATCGGGCCCCTAATTTTAAGGGTCATTTGGTCCTTCAGGTCAGGTGTAGGATTTAAGGCCCAGGGTTCCTTGAAGGGTTCTGCAAAATTGCTGTAGAGGTTAGGGTTTTGGGGGATTTACAGCTCTTAGGTCTTCAGGGGTGGTCGAGGAGCGGGGTGGATTTTGAGTGAGTTCGGTTCGACTTTAAAGGACACCCTCAGCCGCCCCCAAGCCCCAAGGGTTGAGGTCTAGTTGGGCTTAGGATCTCGCGACGTGGATCCAAGGGCTGCTTGAGTTTTAGGGACAGGGTCTGAGGGCTTAGGGCCTTCGGGACTTATATGCTGCTGCCTGTAGCGCTTAGGGGACGGTTGCAGGTAAGTTGTGAGGAAGGAACGTGCCATCCTGCTTATTACGTCCCTAAGCCTCTACGTATCCCAAGAAAATACACAGAGATCGAAACCGCTGACTAACTCCCCTCTTTATTTAAGGGTCCTTCCCCAAGCCTCTGTTAGGGGAGGGTGGTTTGCTATCAATTGGAACAAACACTCCCTAAAAGCCTATTCAAAAAGACCTGTTTAAAAAATAATTCACCAAAATCTGTTACAACCCCTTCCAACCCCTACAAAATCCGTAAAACCCAGCTTCAAAGCCTATACCGCTACCCCTAGACCCTAGTCCCTGAACCCCTAAACCGTCAACAACTCCAGCCCCGAGCTTGCAAAAGACCCAGGTCGGGGGGCCAAGCCCTGAACTCTACAGCCTCTGAAGTTTGGGATTTTAAGTGGGCTTTATGGTTCAGGGTGTAGGGGTTTCGGGCTTAGGGTTTCTAGGTTGCTTTTCTTATTACCCCAATAAGCCACAGAAACAAAAGGTTAAACATTACGATTCTTTATGGTTTAGGGCTTAGAGTTTGGGGTTTAGCGTCTAGGCGTGGGCTTTATGGTTCAGGGTGTAGGGGTTTCGGGCTTTTGGTGTCTAGGTTGCTTTTCTCATTACCCCAATAAGCCACAGAAATAAAAGGTTAAGCTTTACGATTCCTACTAAACTATAAGAACCCCAAGAAGCCTAAAGGTTAGGTATTGGGGATCTAAGTCAAACGGGCTTTATGGTTTAGGGATCAGAGTTTGGGGTTTAGCGTCTAGGCTTCACGGGATCATGCTCAGAACCAGGAAGAAGTCAACAGCAAAAATCCCGAGGAGCCCCACAGACGACAACCATCTCAAAATTGGAGCAGGGCTACTCTATCAGAGTCCTGGTGCTGCAAGGACTTGGGCTCGCAGGTATACAATTGCAGCAAGCCAGGTGAAAGTCTCTAAGAAGACGGGAAGGGTCGAGATGTAGATGCAATCGCCGCAGAACTCAATGGACCTCTGCTAGACTAGTTTCTGGCCAAATCTGGGCGAGTATCCCACTTCAGGACCGACCTCCCTTACTTATTTACATCCGTGACCAAAAACCCCTACACCATGTCTCATCAACCCTACACCCCGACCCTTAGCCCTCAACTACCAAACTACCGCAAACTCGCCAAACGTGTTGCGATTTTTCTCTCCGGCCTTCAAGGATGCTATGTCCCTGTCATAGCTGGCTCTCTCGATGGCGGTATTGACAAAAACACCTCGGAATTCACAAGTTTTTGGACTTGGGGACAAAGATTGGCTTTGAGATTGGTGGCTCAGGTTTCATGCCGTGGAGTGCGTGGCTAGAAAACCTCTTTAAAGCTACTTGGAGGTTCATGGGTAGTTATAAGTAGGGTTAGAAGTAGGGTAAGTATACTCATAACCCATATTAGGGGCCTTATAACCCCATTTATAACTACCCCTGAACCTCCAAGTGTTCTTGTTATCGAGGCCCCCGTGGCTTTCGGGAGCAGGCTTCCTGGCTCCTTGTGCCTCAGAGGTCCAGCCGAGTCCGGATGTAGTTTTTCTAGCTTGGGCTTGGGGCTTCGAGTTTAAGGTTGGGGCTGAGGGATTAAGGTTTCGGCTTTCGGATTTCAGTTTCAGGGCTTAGCCGCATTCCTAGTCTGGGATTTGGTTGGCGACTTGATCGCAAATACACCGCGTGCTACAAGCAGCTGCAACTACGGGAACTAATGTAGGGGCCCTAATAACCTGTTTAAAGTTTGGGGGTTTCCTTATTATAAGTATAGGATAGTGTCCCCCAAGCCCTATTCAAATTATTCAGACGCCTACATTAGGCCTTGGTGTTGCAACTGGGGACCCTGGGGTCGGCGCTAAACGACACTGCAGTGACATCCTGTGTTTTTCCCCTCTGATAAACCCTAAACCCTAAATGGTATGAGCTCTATCTCTGACATCTGAGGGAGGTTCTTCTATGTAACGACGCTTGTACAACGCCTTGGCGATGCTGTCAGGTTGGATGTCCGTGTCATGTGAGGGTTTCTTGCTAAAAAGAGCCGGGTTTGTAGGGCTCCTTAAGATCTGACTTCTACTATTTGGGGTTCTGTATAAGGACCGTTGGTGTGAGGGTCTTTGACTTTCCGGAGCACCCATGACCTGTGGCAAGCTGCCAGTGACGACATTCAAGATCGTAAAAAAGCTGATGATGATGTAAAAGATCAGGACGGCGACGGCTAGCACGGAGACCTTGCGAAAAGGAGAGCACCCTTGCAACCGTAAACCCTACAGATGTAGGAGGCGGGTCGTAGCAAGTACAGCAGCAGAAGCAGGAGGAGGAGCAGGAAGAAAGGCGGTAGTAGTTGCAGATCCGGAAGTAGTAGTAGTAGTAGTAGTAGTAGTAGTAGTAGCAGCAGCAGCAGCAGCAGCAGCAGTAGCAGTAGTAGTAGTAGTAGCAGCAGTAGTAGTAGTAGTAGTAATAGTAGTAGCAGCAGTAGTAGTAGTAGTAGTAGTAGTAGTAGTAGTAGTAGTAGTAGTAGTAGAAATAGTAGTCGCAGCAGCAGCAGCAGCAGAAGGAGTAGTAGTAGCTGTTGTTGTAGTTGTAGCAGTTGTTGTTGTAGCAGACATAGTAGTGGCAGGAGCAGCAGCGGCCCAAACCCCCTAAACCCCAAACCCTAAACCTTAAACCCTAAACCCTAAACCTACGAACTCCGAGGTGCGAAGAGCAAAGCTGGTCCCAGCCCTAAGACCAAAGCCCTAGATCCTAGTGCACGGACCTCAGGGTTTAGGGGCTTAGGGTTGAGGGTTTAGGGTTTAGGGTTTTGGGTTGAGGGTTTAGGGTTTAGGGTTGGGGGTTTAGGGCTTAGGGCTTAGGGTGAGGGTTTAGGGATTAGGCTTTAGGGTATAGGGTTTAGGGTTGAGGGTTGTCCCTGCCTAAGTTCAAAGCACCCCCGATCTAGAACCCAAAAGTCGCTCTAAGCTTAGAGGCCTCGAACGGTGGGATAAGTGAGGGTAGGTCCCAAAGTAGTTCCTTTTTGGGTTTCGTATATAGAATCCTATAAGGTAATCCCAAAAAGGAACTACTACGGTTGATGATATAAATCCTGCATTACCTCAAGGACCCTAAACTATGGGAATTATGGTATATTCCTTACTATGGGTAATGCAGGATTTATATCATCAACAGTAGGATGCAGGACCCACCTACCTTCATCCCAGCCTTAGAGGCTTTTGGGAACCGTCAAGCCAAGCCGCAGAATGCCAGCAAAGCCCTAAAACTCCGCCGAAGCCTTGGAACGCAAAGCCCAAAACCCGAATGTAAGCATATAGCGACTATAAGAGGCAAACCGGCCAACCGCAAAACTCAAAACTGCAGAAACCCTCCCCTAAAACCTAAACCCTAAAGCCTAGAGCCCTAAACCCTAAAGCCTAAAGCTGTAAACCCTAAACCCTAAACCAGCTCGGCAGTTTGCCCTCAACCCCAGCATCCAAGAGGCAAAGCTCCCAAGCTCGAATGAACGGATGCGGATCTGATGAGGGTTTAGGGTGGAGGGGCTTAGGTTTAAGGGTTTGGGGTTTAGGGTTGAGGGTTGAGGATTTAGGTTTAAGGGTTTAGGGGGTTGAACGAAGTGCGGCAGCGCAGTACACCACACGTCGCGGAGACGCACCCATACAGATTCTCGGAGACCCTTCAGCGGACCGTCAAGAATCCCTTGCAGGAACAGTCCTGCAATCAGGAATACTAGGCCCTTGTTCGGCTCCAAGAGACAGACCATCGCACAGTCCAAGAGCATCGTACAACTTCTGGCGCTCAGTGTGCACGGTGTGGCTACTGTCTCCGTCAGGTGCCACCCCACTTTAAAACACCGTAGAACGTAAAGTAAGCACCCTTGAACCATGATATTTAAAACCACTCTAAACAATCCCTTGGAGTTCGATTATAACAAACACCAGAGTTCGACTATAACCAACAACAAAGCAAAGGTGATTCCGAAAAGCCCTAAAGCCTACAAGAAATGAGCTCAAGGACGGAGGCGGCGGGCCTCTCGCAGTGGGTTCAGCGCTTGTTCCCAGGAGATGCCGTCCGTGATGGCGAAGAGCAGGGTAAGCATGGACTCCTTCTGTCTCAATCTTCAAGGTTTAGGGTTTAGGGTTTAGGTTATGGGGTAGGGTTAGGGTTTAAGGCTTAGGGCTGCAGGGACTCCTTGAGCTTTAGGATTCCTTTCGAGGCCCCTTTCGGGGATCCTATAAGGGTCCTGTAGGGTGTAGGGCTTAGGCGTTAGAATGATCTCCTTCCGTTTTTTGTTCAGTGCTTTCCTTTTCTTGGTGTAGTGATGCTCTCCTCTGTTTTCTTAGACTTGGACCTTTTCTCTTGCCAGCAGAAAACCTATTTTGCTCCTTCGGTGTCAGTTCAAGCTTAATATCCCGGGTACGGGTTCTTAGGGCTCTTGGGTACCTTGGGGTCCTTATAGGGTTCTTGGGCTGCTATTTAGGGTTTAGGGTTTAGGGTTTAGGGCTTAGGGTTTGCTATGGTTTCTAAGGCTTGTTAGGGTCCTCAGTTTTCTTGGGGGCTGTTAGGGCTCTTCGGGCGCATGCTCTCTTCTTTACATGCTCTCCTACGGTAGAAATTAACGGTTCTGAAAGTTAGAGGTATGATTTAGGGTTCTGAGGAATTTGGGGGCTTGTAGGGCTCTAACAGTTTAGCGCTCTGAGATTCCAAGGGCTTTAGGGTTCTAGCGTGCATGATTTGCTGAGTCCATTTTTGTAGACGCTTGCGGCTAACAGCATCATCCTTTCAGCAAAGGAGATCATCATAACACCATGCAGCGTGGTCTGCTAATGATCTCCTGCAATGAAAGTTTTGGTGCTCCTGAGACTTTGAAACCATGACTGCAATCTATGGCTTGGGGTGATAAGCTGTTGCTTTGGGAGCTTCATAGGGGGCTTGTAGGATTGAACCAGGGCTTATGCAGATGGCGGTACAGGAGGTGCGTTAGAAACAGAGTCACAACCACAGTCATATGTTTAGTAATCCCTTTTGAGTGTTAATCATTAAACAACAATAAGACATAGTTCCTACTTGGAGGTTCACGGCTACTTATAAGTAGGGTTATAAGTAGGGTAACTATACTTATAACCCATATTAGGGGACTTATAACCCCATTTATAGCTACCCCTGAACCTACAAGCAGGAGCACGAAAGATTCGCTGACGCCCTGGCAATCTACACTATTCGCCTCGTCTGAGCGTTTAAAGTTTGGGGTTTCGGGACTGAGGCCTAAAGTTTAGGGTTTAGGGTTCAAGGTTCAGGGTTTAGGGCCTCAAGGCTTAAGGTTCGGGGCTTGTTTTTTTTCGGGTTCCGGCATTTCGCGCCAGTCGAAATCGTGAGTATTTTCAGGTGCGCATTGCCTCCCTCCGCGACAGCCGGTGCGTGTCCGGCTGCCGAAAACGTGCTTCTTGTCGCAAACAGTCCTTGCCCCTGCGTTGCTTCTTCGCTTTATGATTTCGCATTTTCGCATACGTTTGTAACATCTCAATTTAAAAAGGAAAAGGCAGACGGGTACGAAACGTGGCATCTTCTTTTGCTTATTGCAACCATGTCACGACTGAGGTTAGGACGTACAGTCACAAGGTTTTTCACGCACCCAAAGCCGCGAACTCTGAACCCTAAGCCTTAAACCCTGAACCCCAAAACCTAAACCCCAAACTCGAAACCCTAAGAAGCCTGTAAACCCTCAAACCCTATACCCCAAACCCTAAACCCCAAACCCTCCATAAACCTACTGTAAGGGACTTAATAATTTGAATACCTAGGGTCGTGGGGGCTCCTTACAATAAATATAGGAAAATAAAGGATTCAGGCTCCTACATCAAAAGCCTGAACCCCAAATCGGAGCCGAGCATCGGCGACACCGGGCCAATACAGGCGGAGGGACTCGGGGCACTCAGGCACTGCATTCTTGTCGCTGCCTCTGAAGGCGTGGGTTTAGGGTTTAGGGTCTACGGCGTAGGATTTCGGGTTCGGGTCTCGGGTTTTCGGTGTGTTTAGGGTCCAAGTGGCAAGGGTTTTCTCGTGGACTTGGGGTCAATTTATGTAGAAACCTGAGTAAGATGGCCAGAGTTCTTATAGGAGTTTTTGAAAATCAACCTACCATCATAGGGTTTAGAATACCCTGTCTGGAAGAACCCATGACTCAAGGACAACATCAATCAACCACCCTCAAGAAGGCTGTACACATATGCTTCGGGAACGCGAGTCGCTATATACTAGAATCAGGGACAAAGGACACCAATAACGCCGACTATACGTACCCACATTGTGTTGATATACATGTGTATATACATACATACATATATATATATATATATATATATGCATGTGTATCTCTCTCTCTCTCACTCTCTCTCGCTCTCTCTCAACACAGCATGTATGCATGCGTGCATGCAATTTATGTATGTATGCATCAATGTATGTATGTGTGGATGCCTGTCAAAATGCATGCACAAGTTTTCATGTGTATGAGACGAAGACGTGCCCAGTGCTGGAAACTTAAACAACGAAAACAAATCAAGAAACCCATGAAATAAAGCAAACATTTACCTTATTTTGGGGTCCTTATAATGAGGATCCTACTAATTAAGTAAGGTCCTATATTAGGGTCCCCTATTTTTGGAAACCCCCCATTTGAAGCCGTCCAAGCAGGCTGACACCTATTTCCTTGCCGCCGAAAAGCTCCTGATCACCGCAAGATACCGGCAGTAGTCGGAGACCATCTGCATAATGATCACAGAGAAACCTGGCAGTATCAGGTGTAGGCTTGAGGTTTCAACGGTTTTCAGGGCTTGAGGTGCAGAGCTTGCTTGGAGGGTCGGGGACTTAGTACGTAGGTAGTAAGTAGACTTATAAGTAGCCTAAAACTAAAAGGGACCCTAATTGGGGTTATGGTACTTATAAGTCCCTAAACTAACCAGTTACTACGTCCCCCGACCCTCCAAGTGGGGTTTGAGGGCATAGGGTCCAGATTTGTTCAGGTGTGTCGGGCACGGGGCTACGCAGGGCCTCGTTGCTACATACACACCTTGAAGGAATTTGGAGCTGATGTACTGTCAAGGTCTAAGGTTGCCTTCTCAAGCACGAGCCCGCAATACACCCTAAAAACCTAAACCCTAAACCTTGATATCAACCCTATTGTCAAGCGTTCTTTCATAACAGATACAACTGAAGCTCAAGCAGAGTAGCAACTCTTTCATAAAGGGCCCCTCCCTCATTATGGATCACTTAAGGGAACCCTTGAAGGATTCCAAACCCTAAGCCCTAAAACCTTAATCCTAAACCCTTTTTGCTAGGGCCTCTTTCGATTCCGCAGATGGTCTAGAGAGCCTCGAGTGAGGCTTTAGGGTTTAGGGTTTTTGTGTTAGGGTTTGGAGTTTGGGGGTCTAGGGCCTTGGAGTTTCGGGGTTAGGGCTTAATCTGAGGGCTTAATCTGAACCCCCAACCCTAACACCCCAAACCAGACCTGGGCTGGAAATAATCTGTAACAGTATCCCCTTGCAGGCCTTATGTAACTATACTGATCTAAAATACTTTGCTTCAGAAACCAATCCCACTATGACGGCCCTTCTAACAAAACCCTAAGCCTGAAACCCTCATAAGTGATTCCGTAAACCAACCGCAAACTAACGAACCCCTCCGCCTTCTTCTAATTGTTCAGGCGGCTCCCGAAACCCCAACCCCTGAACGCTATGAGCCCTAAACCGAACCCTCAACCCCTTAAACCCGGCACCCTAAACCCTAAACCCCAAACCCTGAACCCCTAATCCTAAACCCCAAACCCTGAACCCCTAACCCCAACCCTAAACCCCAATCTAAGCATCCAGGGTGCTGTAGAAGAGGAGGAAGAGGAGCACCAAAGTCCAGAGCAGAGAGCTCCTTGGGGTTTTGTAGGGCTTACGGCCTTGGGCTCTTTGAGGGCGTAGAGCTTACGGCTTTTGGGGTTTAGGGTTTAGGGGTTCAGGGCTTGCAGGGTTTAGGGTTTCGGGTTCACGGCTTAGGTTTAGGGTCTATGGCTGTTTGTCTATACTGGTTTAGGGGTTTTAGGTTTTGGGCTGTTTTCAGAACCTTGGGGCAGGGATGCCTCATGCTCCAGTCACCATCCATCCATGAGCTTTTGCACTGGCGGGAGATACCGGGGACTGGGAGCTTTGAGGGCTTTTCTGCGCACAAAGAACTCCCGGGAGTTGAAAATGCATGCTGACTGCTCTATGCAGGCGTCCAGGTGTTCAAGCGTTCACCGTATGATGTCGGTTGCTTCGGGGAGGAGTGTTGGGCACGACTGGTGACCGTAAACCCTGAAGCCTCCATCAAAAACCCTAAACCCTAGACCAACCCTTGAAGCCAAACTAATCATAAATCCTGACCCTAAACCGTACACCCTAAACCCTAAATCCTAAACCCAAACCTAACAGCTAAACTAACCATAAATCCCGTGCGTTCTTCGTCTGTTTCGGGGCAAGGGCTCTAAACTCAAGGAAACAGAGGGTTCAGACTTTTGGCCGGGAAGTGGGGTTTAAGGGATTGAGGGTTTAGGGTTTAGGGGTTTAGGGTTGAGGGTGTAGGGGTTGGGGGTTTAGGGTTTAAGGTTTAGGCGTTTAGGGTTTAGGGGTTTAAGGTTTAGGGTTTAGGGGTTTAGGGTTTAGGGGTTTAGGGGTTTAGGGGTTTAGGGCTTAGGGTTTGAGGGTTTGCAAGGATTTAAATCTAGGGATCAGGGTTTATGCATGTGCAATCCATGCCTGATCATTCTTTTCTGGATTTTGGGAAGTTCCATCTCTGCCACGCTTAAATGGCAGTTTAGGGTCCAGGGGCTTGAGGGGGGGTTTAGGGTTTAGGGTTGAGGGTTGAGGGTTTAGGGTTTAGGACACGCTTTAGGGATTTCAAGCGTCGGGATTAGCCCCATCCACTTGCAGGTTAAAACTCACCCTACAACCCCCTTAAACCCCAAACCTAAACCCTAAAACCCTCAAACCCTCAAACCCTGAAACCGCCGGGTGCAAGCCAGGGCAAAGCCGGGGCGCATGGTACTGACGATGGAAAGGATCAAGGCCCTGGCGCTGAACCGGGCTCTAACACTTAAGGTGCTTAAGGTTGTTTTTGTTGAACCCCCTTTTCCGTCTGCAAGATCCAGTCAGAAAGCGGTTTGGGGTTTAGGGTTTTGCGTAGGGTTTAGTGAAGTAGAAGCTAGAAGGTTGGGACATGATGATCATCATGTCCTCAGGGCAAAAGTGTAGGGGAGTTTGGAGTTTGGCACTACTCATCCTAAACCCATGTTCCATCTTTCTGTATAGTTCCTCGCATTCTCCATAGGGCATAGGGTAAACCCCAAACCCAAAGCCCCTCAATGCCAAAGCGCAAAGCCTTAGGTACTGCCCCCATACAGTAAGAGTCGATAATAGGGCAAAAACTCTTTACCCCTCGTAAAAATTACAGTAAACCCCACAAAGTCGGAAACCGGATTCAGGCCAAATAGTGCTGGGATTCCCTATATATTACTCTCAAGGATTGGGGCTATTGGGTTTCCAACTTTTTGGCTTCTACTGTAAACCTTTAGCTGCGCCACAAACCCTGACAGCCGTAAACCCTGAAGACCCTCTGCGCAAAGTTGTTGCTGGTCGAGGGCACCCTTGTCCTTTTAGAAATAATAGACAGAGCCCTATACCTATATCCCTTAGTAGGAATTGTTTAAAAAGGTCTACTAGCCGGTCTGTTTATTCTTTTGGGGGGACCATGAAAAATGACAAGGCTGGTCCAGGGACTCTGTGTTTAAGGGTTCTCAGGATCCGGGAGTTAAGTGTGGGCACCTGATTAAGAAACCTTGGGCCTTTATTCAGGTTCCTTTAAAGGGATCTGTAAGGGTTACTATAAGGGATCTATAGGGCAAGGTTACTATAATAATGTAGGAACCTGATTAAGAAACCTTGGGGCTTTATTTATTCGGGTTCCTTGTATGAATAATACGATTTTGATGGGTTCTGGCCCAGGGTTTCTTAATCAGGCTCCTATATTACTCAGGGAGCCCCCCAACCCTTCTTTCAGAAGATACAGATTGGTTTACTTAGGGCTTTGAAGTAGCTATACAACCGAAACAAGATGTTTGTGCGTGCCCCAAACAGGGTGGGCCTGACCAGTTTCACGGTTTTTGGCTTGCTTCTTGCCGACCTTGTCCTGTGTGGCGCGTGCTGCTCCCCCTAAACCCTAAACCCTAAAGCCTAAAGCCTAAACATTGTCCTGTGTGGTCGAAACCTGTGCCTCAGTGCGCTGAAGTACCGGATCATCCGAAAGAAGCGCAAGCCTCGTAGCGCCTCCATGGTGGGGTTATATATGGATCTGGGGTAGAGGGTTTGGCATTTGGGGGTTAAGGTCTACGGCTTGGGGTTGAGGGTGTAAGTTTTGGGGTCTGGGGTGTAGGGTTTGGGGTTATGGATCTGGGGAGCAAGTAGGTTATAAGTAGGGCTAGAAGTTCTTTAAATGGAGTTACCCCAGTTGATAACCTTACTTGTAACCTACTTACTAAGTCTCCTGCCCCTCCAAGTAGAGGGTTTGGCATTTGGGGTTTAAGTTTTGCGGCTTGGGGTTGAGGGTGTAGGTTTGGGGGTGTGGGGTGTAGGGTTTGGGGTTTGAGGGTGTAGTGTGGGGTTTGGGGTGGGGGGGGTTGGGGTGTAGCATTTGTAGGGTTTCGGGTTTGGGGTGTAAGGTTTGGGGTTTGGTGCAGGAACGAGAACGTCCGACCGTCATGCAAAAATGTGGAACAGGTTTGGAGCTTCGTGGTTTAGGGTTTAGGCTAAGGGGTTAGGCTACCTTACTGTATCCCGACTGTGCTGCTGCCACGGAGCCCGGGCCAATCGCAGCGTTCGCATGAAGGACCATGCATCGGCACCCCACCTTGCCCAGAAGCTGGCATCTCCCATGCGCAATCCCTAACCCGAATCTCCCCCTCAAACACAAGGGGTTTAGGGTCAGGGGTTAAGGGTTCAGGGGTTTAGGGTGTAGAGTTTAGGGGTTTAGGGTTTAGGGATCTATGAAGCCCGTACAAATCCTGCGAACAACTGAGACGGGCCGCATGCTCGCAGCCAGAGTCTGCGCAAAGAGGTCGATGACCACCTCCGTCGACTTTACTTAGATTAGGGTTTTGGGTTTAAGGGTTTACGGGTTTCAGAACCTCAGAAAATCAAGGACACGGTATTTATTCCTCTAACGAGGGATCCTACCAAAAAAGGGCCCCTTCTCGTCTGCGTGGTGGGAATGGGGCTTAGGCTCCCGTGCCCTGGAATCTAAACCCTAAAACTGAAACAGTAAAGCCCTTATCCCTGAAGTACTCCGCCCTAAACCCTAAACCCTAAACCCTAAACCCTAAACCCTAAACCTAAACCCTAAACCCTAAACCCTAAACCCTACACCCTACCTTTAACCAAGCTCGTTAACCCTGAAGCGAAACACCCTAGACCAGTGGCTTCCCACTGCAAAAGCATACAGATCTTTTCAATCTGGCTCGGATCTGGGGATGGGCTTTACGGCTTAGGGTTGAGATGGGTTGAGGGTGTAGGGTTCAGGGTGGGGATACGGTGTAATAAAGATAGGGTTTGGGGGATTAGGTGAAGGTCTTGGAGTATAGAATGGTAGATACCGTTACTACATTTTGCCCTAAACCCCTACCCTAAACTCTACAAACTCAGACTGCATTGATGGAGATGTCGGCACCCGTCCGACCTCCAAGGCAGAAAAGGCGACGATGATCACGTCGAACCTGTGGATGCGGACGAGACAAAACACTGACTGAGGGTTGGGCTGTTAGGGTTTAGGGTTTAGAGAGACGGGTGTGGGGATTACTGTTGAAACCTTTTGGGGAGTAGGAGTCTAGGGTCTAGTTTAGGGTTTGGGGATTACGGTTTAGGTTTTGGGTTTGGGGTTTTTCGCGGTTTGTGGTTCAGGGTTTGCCGATGCATGCGGTCTCTTGGACAACCTCGCAGCAACCACTTGGAGACGAGACTACGGGCACATATGGGTGGTTGTCAAAATCATGGCCCCTTTTTGGGTCCCTATTATAATACGGCACCTAGGGACCTTAATTTTGACAACTACCCACATGACGAATCAGCGTCAATCCACCCTTCTGTCTCTGGAATCGCCCCAAGCCTTGTGAATCCGGTCGACACCAAGCCCTACCTCTAGCCGAAAAGACCTACCTTTTTTTAGGGTTCCTTATTATGGATTCTGTATATAGTTCCTTTAAAGCGGTAGTATTATGGATTCTGTATATAGTTCCTTTGAAACGGTAGTCTTATGGATTCTGTATATAGTTCCTTCAGACGGTAGGGTCTTTTCGGCTGCAGCTATAAACCCTTGAGGGTTTAGGAGGGGGCAGCCTCCGGGGACGGAAGCTGACTTTGCAACCTGCGCCCTGAACCTGGAAGAACATGGGTACTTCTCTAAACTAGGGCCCCTTTCGGGTTTAGGGTTTTAGGGTTTAGGGGAGGTTTAGGGTTTAGGATTAGTTCAAGGTTTCGGGGTGGTTGCCAAAGTCATGGTCTCTTTTTGTGTCCTTATTATACTACGGCACCTAATATTTAAGCAATTTTGACAACTACCCACATGGGTACTTCTCTAGATTAGGGCACCTTTGGGGTTTGGGGCTTAATTAAAGCTTTAGGGCTAGTTATCTACCTTATTGTCCTCCCGTGTTGGGTATTTGTACAAGGGTGCCGTACAATATTGGGGGTCTAAAAGGGCACCCTAGTTTACAGAACTATCCACATGCAAGAAAAGCAAGTGAACGCCCGTGTGATGCGGGGTGCCTAGGCTCAACCCTAAATGAAAACCTGACTTTATTACAGAACTCTTACAAGGAACCCTTTGAAGGCCCTCAAACCTACTTTTGCAATACTGAGCCCTCAACTCCGAAACCAACATAACGATCAATCAGGGTTGGGGGGTCCAGGGTTCGTGGCTAAGTTACGCCTCAGGGCTTATATAAGGTTTCGGGTTGAAGGCCGCTGGGACCTTTCTGAAACGCCGCCGGGGCACATGTTCCAGCCTGCCTGCGCGCGGGCTTCGCTTGCTTTTACGTGGGCTTGATCTGGCGAAGTTTTGAGCTTTGCGGTCTAAGAACCGTCTTACTCGTCCAGCTGACTAGGACAAGTACAGGCTGGAATCCGTGATAATACAGGGAGTGTAGGTACCCACAAAAAGCCAAAGGTAACTTACTGCCCTAGCTACGTCAGTCACCTTGGGGTCCTCCCCAACCTCTGGTGCGCGGCTGAACAACGGCAGGACCGAGCTGATAATACGCCCTTGTGCCAAAGCCCTCGTTCAGAATGAATAGATGGTCAAAACATGTTGATATTTTTTTAGAAAATCCCCTTTATACTCCACCACACTCCGATTCGATACAAATCCTTTCCTCATGCTTTCCTGTGCCCTAAAACCACAAACCCTGAAACATAAACCCTGAACCCTACACCCTCGAAGCCCTTAAAGCCCTCAAGCATTGAGCTTTCCCGAAACTGCAGAACCCTAAATTTACGAAACCTTAAACTTTACTTTGAGCCCCTCAACCCTGAACCCGAAAACGAAAGAACCTAAACCCTAGAAGCCTAGAACCCTCAACCCTAAGACCCACAACCCAAAGCCCCTAAAACCCCAAAACCCCCAAACCCTAAAACATCCCATTCTCTGGCCCCTGTGCTCTGCATCTCCTCACTCTTTCGTCTGAGTTTTGCGGGTTTACGGCTTAAGGCGTTTAAGGTGCAAAGGGCTTCGCGTCTACGTTTCCGCGAACAAAGCTTCTCTGCCCTCTTCAGGAATCTGCCTAAACCCTGAACCCTAAACCGTCACCCCCACACTCCTAAACCCCAAAACCCTAAACCCTAACCCCTACAGATCCCTTATGGAGCCCTTATGGATCCCTCTAAAGGAGCCCCTATAGATCCCTTTAAGGTACCCTGCCAGGAACAAAGCAATCAGCTCCTAAGTACTGCAGATTGAGACTCAGACTCCGCCGATGCAGTTGATCAGGGCATTGGGCTTTCAGCTTTCGGACTAAACCCTATAAAACCATGTAGATCCCTTTAAGGAACCCTATAGAACCCTTAAGGAACCCTTGAAGGACCATAAACTTCGACCCGGAAGCCCTAGAGCCTTCATCCTTAGACCCAAGGCCCCAAACTCAAAGGGGAAAAGGAGGGACCCTTGTTGGGGACCCCCACCCCATTGGGATGAGGGCTCCTTTAAAGGGGTCTATAAGGACTACCATAAGGGGCTATATTGAGGGTTTAGGGTTTAGGATATAATGGGCTATATAGTGGGTATATAATAGCTATATTAAGGGTATATAACTAGGGGTCCTCATTAAGGGTCCCTCCTTTTACCCTTGGAGCGACTGCAAAAAGTTCGCCCGTTACCCTAAACCCTAACACCTGGACCCTAAATGGGTGGTTATCAAAATTATGGTCCCCTTTTTGGGTCCGAATTATAATACGGCACCTAATAGTTAGGGTACCCCAAAAAGGGACCCTAATTTTGAGAACCACCTAAATCTAAACCCCTGAACCCTAAACCCCTAAACCGCTAAACCCTATAAACCCGTTGCAAACCCTTCCCAAGACCTTCTGCCCTTCTCCAACAGCCCACCTGTGGGCCGCGCCAGAACTCGTGGCAGCCCAACGCCACGAGTTTCAAAATGATCTCTATCACGAAAATGCCTGACACGGTTTAGGGTTTAGGGTTTAGGGTTTAGGGTTTAGGCTTCAGGCTTCAGGGTTCAGGGTTTTGTAGGCAGATTCCTGCAGATAGCTTAGGGTTTAGGGCCTAGGCATGCGGGTTTACTTCACAATCCTGCAGCCAATTGTCTGGGTTGGGCTTTGAACCCCTAAACCCTAAATCCTAATTGGGATTGTTGGACTAGGATACCCAGTAACCTAAGAAAAAAAGGCCTCTCTTTTTGGTATTGGGTAACTTTATAAGGAACCTAGGACTACAAATAGGGAATAAGGGTACTACTGGGCATCCTAGTGGAACAACCCCAGGCTCCCGACGTTTCGGTTGAGGCTGAGCTGTAGAAGCGTCCAGTACGGGTGAACTGCATACCCAGAGACTCCGATACCCCTTAATTAAGGAATATTCCTGAAATCATATCAGGGATCCTACTATAATTCAAGGTATATTCATTACGGGATATTGGAGTCTCTCCGTGAATGCGGGACCCGACTAAAGAACCGAACGAGGACCCTAATCTTCTGAAACATTCATAGGTGTATCTAGGCATTTAGGCATTTAAGATGCGCCAGACTCCACAAGAGAAGTCGCAGCCTGCCATGCCAGATGTTGAGCCGGAATCTAGTCTGAAGGAGATTTTGGTTTTGGAAGCCCAGTCTATTCCCTGAACCTCAAACCCTAGACAACCTTCAACGCGTGCAAATGACCGTGCGCCCGCGCCCGCGCGAACTCTCAGACTTAGGTCTCAGGGTGTGGTTTAGGGATTAGGGAGTTTAGGGTTTAGGGGTTTCGTGGTTTAGGGGGCATCGGAGCCCGCAAAGCCAGAGCCAGGACCGGGCAAGGTGCCCACGATGCCCGTGTTCACCACCATGAACCTCACATGAGCTTCTCAGCGAGCTGAAGATCCAGAACTCTTCAGTAGGCTCGAATATAACCCTAAGAGTCCAAAGGACTCAATAATTAAGTACTCAGGTTTATGATAACAGTTTTGTAGGTTACCGTTTTGGAGAGTATATGACAATTGGGTACTTAGACCCTCAGGGTAAGGGCTTGGACATCTGGACTTCGGGGCAATTATACTAACTATGTAGAACGCAAGGGACCCCACGGAACTGTGTTACAAAATATTCTGACAACATGATGCCCTCCCTTGCTGAAAAATGAGGCGGTCTTCCAGGCTCATCTGCTTTTTTTTATGACCTCTAGCGTACCTTCCAGGTAGGGTTTAGTGTAAAGGGTCTAAGTTTATAGAATCATTTGTTTATCAAGAATGTAATAAGTTTTTCTTTGCAACGATATTTACAACGATGCCACTGGTAATCGTAAGTTGCTCTTGCCAGATTTGACTGGCCCTCTTCTAAGAAGCTGGGTATAGCGTTTAGCACTAAACATAGTGCAGGCTTCTTCAACACAGACTTTGAAGAAAAAAACCCTGAATCCTGAACCCCTCGCCCAAAGAGGGGTTCGAAGAGCACTCTGCAGTTCGAAAAGGACCCCTTATAAAAGACAAACTCACTAAACCTTTTCCTTCAAGTTACTTTCTGTATTTCTGATAGCAGTCACTGCAGGGATCGGGGCTCCGGGTTCCGACCCCGAAGCCGCGTCCCTTAAACCAAAAATCGGAAGCCCTCCCTAAACCCTACACCCTAAACTTCCGCGAAACCCGAAACTCTATCTGTATCCCCAAACTACAAAAAGATAGGTTCTGGCCCCTTAATTATCTGGCAGAACACCTAAAACAGCGGGGCTTCGAAATCCTCAGGTAAACCCGAAGCAAATCCGAAGCGGTCAACCAAAAACCTGCCCCCGAACACCAAAGCTGATTCTGATGTCCTAAGCTCAACGTCTTGGCCACGAATTAATTAGTTGGCAGCGGTGCCAAAGAGCACCGGAACATATTTACAACGGCGGGCAGCTGATCAACAATTGAAAGACAAGCTCTTATAACTTAAATATAGAAGACTAATTGCCACTATTATTCCGTAGGGCTCCTTAACCTTCATACATCTAATTATACTAGGAAGCAGCCCCAAATCCCATGTTAAATTGTTCAGTCACCTGAAATTCAGGAAACTTGCGTCACTTGCATGCTGCCACAGCGCAAACGAATTTGTCGCTCGCAGCTGTTCAAGGTTAGTTGTAAACAATTTAAATGCCGAACACTTTTGGTGCGGCTGGGCTCTGATGACATGCATCCATGAGCTTGTGTATGTGCTGCTGCACACTTTCACCGACCCAGCGTAGCATGACTTGGGTCACATGCTCGTTCACGTGCTCGAAGCCTACGGTATGTCGAATCATCGACTTGACTTTCTCCTCGTCTGCCTTTTTTCCAGGCTCGGGCGTGTTCTGCATCAACCCGGCGCAGGGACCTGCAGATGTCCTCGATGCCTGTCTTCCCAGCTTCAACAGTCTGCTGCAAGGACAAAGCAGCTTCTTCCGGCATTATAAAAACGACTGGAATATCCAGCTTGGAAGCGACGAACTGTTCATAGACTGTCCAGACTCGTGACAAGTAAACAGGCTCCTGCCAGGAGTCGAGCAATGCAACCATCCTTCCTGAGTTGCCGGATGGGTTCATAAGCCCAGAACAGCTTAAGCTTTACCTTATTCAAAGAAAGTCTCGGTAATATTCGGCAAAGTTGTGCAGTTTACTAAAACGGCTTCTAAGCTTCCTATCCGCACCAGGTTGGTCTCGAATACGACTTCGAGGTCGGAGCTTCCCTCTTGGGTACCTTCCTTAAGGACGGCATGCACTGAAAAAGGTCGAAGATTGAGGGGTACGGTATAAATACGGTATAAATAATTCAAACAATAAGGATTCATGGGTAGTTCTCTAAGGTTCCATATTGGGATCCCCGTATCCGGCGGTACTCTGGTAATAAGAACCCCAGTTTAGACACCTAACCTCACAGTGCTTGTGTTTAGGTCCCCTACCTTTTAAGGGTTCTTTGGTCTCCAAGGTTCGACAATGATACGGAATTGGTTGTTCGTGAAAAGATATGTGTGATGTGCAGTAACCTGACTGTGGATCAAACCTGGGGTTGAACTGCACGGCAAGATAAGAAAGTGGTGCATCCACTCAGCGAGGTAGCACACACTAAACCCACCCGGACCGGGAGGCCTGCTCACGTTTCACTGCAAGTGCTGCGGGGAAAGCAAAACCCTGGGGCCTAAACCCTAAACACCAAGGTCGGAAAGGAAACCAGGGAAAGCGAAGAACCAAGGAAATTAATCCCCGATCTCACCCCCTGCGGCCACGATCTCAATCCCTAACCTGCAGGCTGCAATTTGCAACGAAACCCTGGCATCCAAGTCGTCGGCAACATTCTCACCCACCCAACCTGACTTAGAGGTCACGCGAGGCAAATCTCTAAACCATCTTTGGGGAAGCTGATGCTCTTGAGCTAGTTGACTGCGGAAGGCATCAAACCTCGGGCACTCCGTGAACAGATGATGCGTGGAGCCTGCATGATATCCGCAAGCTGCGCAAGCACATTTCTCAGCCTGAAACTGCACACGGCCGGGCCGCCAGTGTCGTCGGGTAGCAGACTTGGTTGCTCCGCCGCGCCACACGGCCAGGAGCGATGCATCTTTCATAGAAAGCGTCCTTCGCCACGCCTTCCAACGAGGGTGGCTCTGCAGCTCAACATCGATGCTATCAATGCCCTCGACATCATGACGTTCAGAACTGTAAGAGCTCAGAGCGCTAATCCGAGCAGCCACTCGAAGGCAATGACCCTTGTCAGCATCAACTCTGAAACTGTGTCCGTTGGCACTGCTCGACACAGCAGCTGCCCGACGCGCCGCTGCCACTAGGCGGGGCTCAGCAGAAGGTAGGGGTTGCAGCCAAAGGCTTCCCTGCTGGTGCTCTGCGAGTTCAAAACCCAAAACATTTGCATGGTGCTTAACACACTTCCAAAAAACCGGATTTGAAACATTGGCAGCACACTGCGCTGCAGTTCTCAAGCACCTAATTGCTGCGGCATATTTCGGGTGGCAGTGGATACAGTCAGCCCACACACGAGCCTGACACCACCATGTTTTATGGCCTCGGAAAGCATGGAAAAAGGCTTTCACAACTTTCTCCGGCACCTCCGGCATGAGAGGAGCGGCCCAAAGCAGCTTCGGCAGAACAAGGCCTGCCAGGAGACCCTGCTTAACATCAGCACCTCCTGGCAGGAGTTGTACTTGAGCTGCCAACATACACAGGTCATCGGCTCCAACCCGTAGCTGCGGAAGAACACTATATCCAGGGCTAGTGGTAATGCCCAGATGTTCGACGGCGCAGCCGGCTCTACCAGACTGCCGGGACCAAGTCTGTCGTTTCTTGAGGTGTTCAGTCAACCCCGGCTTCTCATCGTGCCAGCGCGTAAGCTGCAGTGCAGTTTCAAGCCCATTTTGAGTGCGCCTATCGGTGAGGCTACGGTCATCACAATACAGAAAGGCGCCTACATCAGGAACCGTACGCATAAGCTTGTACCATGGGCCAAGCACATGAGAAAGGAACCTTGGGCTGCAAGGGTCGCCTTGAGGAAGGCCGCAAGTTGCATAAAAATGGCATACGGCGGCGGACTGCCTGCAACCGTACAGGCTCTTGGGGCACTCCAGACTAGATGCTGCATATAAGCGCGAATCGGCATGGGAACGCCCGCCGATCCTGCAGCAAGATCGGCAATCTTCAGATCAACCGAATCAAAAGCTTTACGCAAATCCATCTCAGCCCCTCTGCAGGCCGGCTCGTCCAGCCACTTGAGGGTAGCTGACGCTACCGTCGCGTCCTTGAGACCGCACAACTGACCCTCCGGAGCAGCAGGGCAACGCGCAAGGAGGGCTTTGTTGAAGGCTCTCACTAGGGCGCTCGTCACAGCGATTGGCCGGGTGGCCTCTTCGCCCCGCTTGGGTATTCCAACGACCTTCCAGACGAAAACTTGATCACGAAGTTTGCACACAAGTTCTCTATCGGAGCTTTGCAATGACATACAAGCGTTGAACAGCTGAACGAGTTCGGAAATCAGCCAGGGGCAAAACAAACTGAGGCCTACTAGCTCCTTGGCAGACCATCCGTCGAAACCAGCACAGCCCTTTCCGGAGCGGATGGCCTCCAGGAGCTCAGCATCCGTGATGGGCACCCAAGCCGCCTCAGCTTGAGCATCGCAAGTTGACTGATGCTCATGCTGTGGCAGAAGTTCGTGTGAAGCGGATTGACGGAGGACTTCCTGCCACGAAGCTTTCGGGTCTGGATGGGCAGATTCCCACCGTGGGGCCCATTCCTGCGTCATGGCAGCAGAATCCACAACGCTGCCGCCGCCAGGAGTCTCAGGACGAAGGGCTCCTGCAGCAACCTTCAAAAGGTCAGAGTTAGCCACGGAAAACTTGCGGCGCCATCTGCGTTGACTTTGACGACTCATGTCTTGCTCTTGTGCAGAAACAGCATGAGAGGCCCTTTGCAAAGCCTCACCTTGACAACGTGGGATCTCAGCTTCCGGACCAAGCTGGGCCTTCCAATGACGCAGCTGAGATTCCGTTAAAGGCGCTGTATCCCCAGAACGACGAGCTTGCTCGGCTGCGGCTCGGTGTAAACGGCGCCATCGCCGTAAGCTTACGGACTCCCCCTGCCGCGTCTGCGGCGTTTGGGCACAAGGTTTAGTCGTCGGCACAGAGCCTTTACAACGCTCACCCGGTCTTTCTAAGGAAGCTAAACCCAAACTTACTGCCGCTCGACAAGCAGCCTCTGCCTTTCTATGCCAAGCCTGGAACAACTCCGGAAGGCTGGCATCTTTGTCAGGGGCATCCCGGGATGCCTCACGGAGTCTCTGCAACTGGGAATCACTCAGCGACACAGGACCGGCCACGGACCACTTGTAAGAAGCAG